TGTGATCTCCCTAAAGTTTACCGAGGCCCCTGGTAAGGACCACTGTCCCGAAACTCATCTGTCTTCTGCTCCAGCACAGCAGGTGGCACTCTGCAGGTATTTAGTTGGTTCGCAGCCCGACAGTAAAACTCATAGAAGAAGGAAGAAAATTAAAACGAAGAGCAACAAGAACAACGAAATGTTGAAACAGAAATAGGTCAAGTATGGGGAATGATAAAACGAATGAATGGGATAAAAAGAAAGTTTGGGTATCCAATTTTAAGGGATGGAGATACAACAGCTGTAAAAGATGAAGAGAAAGCAGAAATGTTGGCGAAAAGTTCTGTTAAAATACATAAATCAGACAATATTAGTGAGGAGGGAAAAAGAGGAAGGGAAAGGACGTTGGAGCAGTATAAAGAGATAATACAGAATGAGGAATACAATAATGATCAACTAAATATGACATTTACGAAGTCAGAGTTAAATCTATCTCTTAGAATAACCAGGAAATCAGCTCCAGGTATGGATCAGATTTGCTATTTAATGATAAGTCATCTCAGTGAATTATCCAAGGATGTTTTATTAAAAATGTACAATAAAATTTGGGAGGAAAGAAAATAACCACAAAGTTGGATATGATAGTTCCAATACGTAAACCTGGGAAAGATTGTACAAATCCAGGAAATTATAGACCTATTGCTTTGACGTCTAATATTGGTAAGATAATGGAAAAAATGGTGAATTAAAGGTTAATGTATCACGTGGAAAATAGTAAATTTTTATCCAAATATCAGAGTGGTTTTAGGAGAGGGAGAAATACAATGGATCCGGCTGTGTGTTTAGAACACGAAATAAGAAAAGCACAAATAAATAGAGAGAGTGTAGTGGCTGTCTTCTTTGACATAGAGAAAGCATACGACATGATGTGGAGAGCATACGAAATTATGTAAGTTAGGTTTCAAAGGTCAAATGTATAGATGGATCAAGGATTTTCTATCAGGAAGAGCAGTGAAAGTGAGAATAGGAAATAGTTATTCAGAAAAGTTTGTGATCGAAAATGGAATTCCACAAGGACGTATACTGAGCCCTTTATTGTTTTCCATAATGATAAATGATGTATTTGAAGATCTGGATAATGGGCTGGGGTTTTCACTCTTTGCTGATGATGGGGCAATCTGGAAAAGGGGAAGGAATATTGACTTTATTGTTAAAAAGTTACAGGAGGCTATTGCAGTAGTTGAAGAATGGTCATATAAATGGGGTTTTAAATTCTCAGTTGACAAAACAAAGAATGTTTTTTACAAGGAAAAACATTATAAAATTATATAATCAAGAACTGGAAAGAGTGAAACAGTTTAAGTTTTTAGGGATATGGTTTGATGAAAGAGTTACATGAGCGGTGCATATTTAGAATATAGTGAACAAATGTAAGAAAATAATAAATACAATGAGGTGTTTAGTTGGAAGTGAATGGGGGGCAGATAGGATGGCATTAAAGGCCATGTATAGTGGATTGGTTAGATCTGTGTTCGATTATGGGTGTGTGGTGTATGGATCAGCAGCAGAAACATCTCTTAGAAAGTTAGATAACATACAGCATCAGGTA